AAATTTGAGTTCGGGAGTCGGTTACATGTGGGGAAGGATTAGCACCCCCACAAAACCCTAAATCGGTACCTAGTCGATTAATTAATTGTCTTTACAATAAAATGTACAAGCTCGAGTCTGATTTAATTTAAGATCCCCTAAAATAACCATTTTTTGAAATTTTGAATGAAATATAATAATATTTAATTATTTCTTATCGAGAAGAACCGATCTATCATACCTTGAAGCAATCGATTCTTACTACAATTGAAATAAGAAATATTAAAATTTCATTCTAAATTTCAAAATAATAATACCCAAAATAATTTTTAGAGAGAAAATAATAATATTTAATTTATTCCGATCGAACATTATTATTTTGAAAACCCTTTGAAAACACATGCAAAAGTCAAACAAATTTAAAAAACCTATCAAACAATTGATTAATTATTTATTTTACCAATATTTAATGAGAACAATGATATTCAATTAATTAAATATCTCGAGACGAGATCACATATTCGATCTAACTGTCTTTTCTCGATGAATTTAATTAGAAAAATATGATATTTCCTCAATCCCCGAATTTTAAAAATGGATTCGATTTAATTGGTGTTACTTGACGTGATATACTTTCGTTTTAAAATTATCGAAAGTAACTTTCTTATACGTTAAGACGGTTACTTTACGATAATATTAAAATGATCGAATATTACTCTTAATCAAATTATTTTGATTTGAGTAAATTAAAAGGATATCATGCAAATTAATTAAAATAGAACCTAGACCGATATGCATCAAATCGTATATTTAGCATACCCTGAAAAAATAATAATACAATTAATTGATATATATATATATATATATATATATATATATATATAAACAGTACAGTAAAAATATATATTAAATATATATATATATATAGTTCCAACAAAAAGGACAATGTGTAAAGGCTCAAATATATTAAGTATAGATATACATATATTATTTAGTACACACATGAAATATGATAACAAAAATATATATGAAAAATGTATTTACTACATATATATATATATATATATATATATATATATATATATATATATATGTAAAACCATAAATATGGGAATAAAAACATAACTTATATATACGTAATATATACACTAATATATCATGAAATTTAGGCATAATTCAAGAAATGTATTTAAAATGTATATAAAAAGTGAAACGAAAATTTAATTGAAAATTATATAAAAGGCATTTTATTCATATGGAAAGCATCTTATATATCGTATATAACAACATATTCACACAAAAATAATCAATAATATATATATATTATATGCCAGAAAATTAATATATACAAAGAATAAAAATACACATAAGCATAACATATACACGTATATTTATTATAACACAATACTATATAAAAACATATAAACAAATATAAACTAAATAGTAAGCACACAATATATATATACGTATACTAACAAATTTATAAATCATTATTGCTTAATATTAAAAATAATAACTACATAATACATATTCAAACATAGAAACACTACTTATTTAAGTAAACATGTAATATAAATGGGATATTCAAACAACATAAATGCAACAATATATGTATATAAACAAGTCATTTATTAGGTAGAATTATAAAAGGCAGATTCATATTTATGCTTGATTTATGACACCAAATAATTCTATCAAAAAAAAAAAACGTTTAAGCCAAACCAATAAATAATCAAGGGTTGAAATACAAGACATGTTAAAGTTAAGGGGACTAAACTGAGATTTTACCCAAATACATTAAGGCATATACGAAAATGGCTAAATTTTGAAATCAGTCCCTACAGGTGACTGTTTTGTAAAACACGGGGAAACCTAGAGGGGTTTATGTTGTAGTTTTACCCTTAATTTCATCTATATATACCACTAATTTTATTTTTTTTGGGCTCGGCCGACCAACTGTCGGCCACTGTGAGCCACCGTCGAATTTCGTCCGGCCATTGCTCCAGCCATCGCACATGGTGGCCAGAATTCTCAAAAGCAACCAAATCACCCCCTTTTTTTTATAGATCTAACCCCATAGGTGTTTATCTTAGGCTAAAACACCCAAAAAAACCACAAAACGAGCCCCAAACCGAGCTCCGACCCTTTGGTTCTTATGCACTTCGGCTACCGTCCGATGAAGATTCGATGACTCAGGTAAATTCCTTCCTTTAAACTTCCGGTTTTCTCTATTTTTACATGCAAAGTTTCGGTCTTTTTGTTTTATTTATACAAGTTTTTATTTTTCATTCAAACCTATGTATGAAAAATACAAAAATAAAATAAAAATGATACCTTTCGAATGCTATTGAAAACTTTCTGATTTATTGCTTTGTATTTTGTTTCTGAAAAACTCCGAATAGGTCCAACTCTCTTTATTACATTGTTCAACGGGATTTTATACCCATTTTTTTACAAGTCTAAAAATAGTAATCTATTTTATTTATTATTATTTTTTGTGTTTGGTGATGATTCACGCATGGTATGGCCAACTCTGATTAGTTGCAGTGGCATAGGAGTGGTTGGCAACAGTGGTGGCTGTTGAGTGGTCCAACCGGCGGTGGTTGTTGAGCGATCCAAGTGGTAGTGGATTGTTCTGGAAACCCTAACAGGAATCAATCTGGGACGTTGGATCTCTCCCAGATCTAACGGCCAAGAGCTGTTTGTGGCTGATGGAACATGAAGAAACCCTAATTTGATTAGGCTGCCACAGTTGGGCTTCGGGTATAACTTGTAATTTGGGTTTGGGTTTTGGGCTCACCAAGCCTATTATTGTAAATCTATAAAATAAAATATAATTATAAATAATAATATAAATAATAACGAAAAAACGAGTGTCAACGGTTGCCCCTCTTTGTCCATTCTTGTGTTGACAAGAATAGAGCAAAGATGAAGAGACAAAACGTTTTTCGTCCGGTCAACCTTAAGGTTTAAAATATGATTAAGGAATCTGTTCTGCTATTACTCAGGGAATATCAGATCTGGGGATGATAGGGATTTGTTCCGCTTCTTCTGAAGGAAATATCATATCTGAAAGAAGAGGTGACTCATTCCACTGTTCTTAAGGGAATTTTGAATTGAGGCAGACTTGTTCCACTTACTCTGAAGGGAATATCAAATCTTGAAAAAGAAGAGACATGTTCCGCTTACTCTGAAGGGAATATCAGATCTGAAGGAGTTTGATCCATTGAATCGGGGCAGACTTGTTCCACTTACTCTGAAGGAAATATCAAAACTTGGGAAAGAGAGACATGTTCCGCTTACTCTGAAGGGAATATTAGATCTTGGGAAAAAGAGACTTGTTCCGCTTACTCTAAAGGGAATATCAGATCTTGAAGAAGTTTGATTCCTTGAATCAGGGCAGACTTGTTCCACTTACTCTGAAGGGAATATCAAATCTTGGGAAAGAGAGACATGTTCCACTTACTCTGAAGGGAATATCAGATCTTGGGAAAAAGAGACTTGTTCCGCTTACTCTGAAGAGAATATCAAATCTTGAAGAAGTTTGATTCATTGAATCAGGGCAGACTTGTTCCACTTACTCTGAAGGAAATATCAAAATCTTGGGAAAGAGAGACATGTTCCGCTTACTCTGAAGGGAATATCAGATCTTGGGAAAGAGAGACCTGTTCCGCTTACTCTGAAGGGAATATCAGATCTTGAAGAAGTTTGATTCCTTGAATCAGGGCAGACTTGTTCCACTTACTCTGAAGGGAATATCAAATCTTGGGAAAGAGAGACCTGTTCTGTTTACTCTGAAGGGAATATCAGATCTTACAGGAGTTTGATCCACTGAATGGGGGCAGACTTGTTCCACTTGTCTTTAAGATTAACAAATCTGAAAATTAAACATTAAGTTAGTTAAATTGTGTGAAGATTTGAAAACATCATACTTGTAAGTTTCAGGGTTGTAATCTTTGGAAATGATTTCTCTTGTGGGAGCTCTTCTTGTCACTATCACATATGAAAATTTGAAACACTTGTTTTTATGTTGAATCATTACATCTCTAATATTTCCTGTAAGAACTTGGCATATCTATCATTATCATGTATTTTCATGTCATGATCCTATTTATGCCTATCATGTATGCAATGATTACTTTAAAAGTATTTTATTATCTGATGCGAATTTTCTCTTGTTGATGGCCTTGTACTTCAATCGAATTTGGGGCATGAAAAAGCCGACCGCAATTCATCATGATTAACCATTTTGAATTGGATACTCTTTGGTTCTTTTTAACCTTTGAGCCCAAGCATGGCTAGACTAGCGACAATCTATTGAATTATTATATGTTGCTGAACTTTTACGTGTATCCCAAGACTTTAACTTTTCACTGCCCCGCATTGCATAAGCCTCATGCTAACACTAATTTCAGCTTCAGAATACCTGTCTTTTCAACAAAAAAAATTTCTCGTCTGCACAACAATCTTATGTTTCCCGAATTAATTTACATGTTTTCATGGTTAATTAGGATGCTTGCAACATGATTTTAACATGAAGAAATCATTTATTTATAAACAAATAGTTTTTTTTGCAAGTACATGGCAAACTTTTAACTGGAACAATCAAAAGAGATCCAAGTAAATGTCTTCTGCTATCAATAGTGTGAATGCTTTTGAACTGGCACACCATAGAACAACTCGAGTGTATCTTCTATCAAAATGAATTTAAGGATGATGACAATGCGCAATGGTGTGAAATCCCATTTGTATTACTAGATTCCCTTAATGTTGAATATCATTAATCTCCGGTCATCCAAGTCTTTTCAATTTCTAATCCTAACCCTGACCATCGTTAATTCAGAATCTCCACCGTGCACGAATTCTGAATTTACATAATTCTCAAGCTGCCCTTTGCATGTTTTCAACTTGAGGCCTCCTTTGGTTTCAAGATGCTCTTTACGAGTTTTCATATTGAACCCTCATTTTTGTTTTTCATATATTTCTTCTTCTTTTTTTCTTTTCTTTTTCTTTTCTTTTTTTCAAGCAAAATATTTCTTGTCTGCATCAACATTCACAGGGTTAGGTAATTCTAGTCCATCAATCTTAGTGAGAATCAAAGCTCCACCAGAAAAGGCTTTATTTACCACATAAGGTCCTTCCCAATTGGGCATCCATTTACCTCGAAAATCTTTCTGAATTGGTAAAATCTTTCTTAGTACCAGATCTTCCTCCTGAAATTCTCGTGGGTGAACCTTTTTGTTATGTGCCCTTATCATACGTTTCTGATACATTTGCCCATGACATATAGCTTTTAATCTTTTTTCCTCAATCAAATTTAGCTGGTTATATCTAGCTTGCATCCATTCTGCTTCATCTAGCTTAACCTCTGATAGCACCCGAAGTGATGGAATCTCAACTTTGATAGGTAATACAGACTCCATCCCATAGGCTAAGGAGAACGGAGTTGCCCCAGTTGACGTCCTTACTGAAGTTTGATAGGCAAATAGAGCAAATGGTAACTTATCATGCCAATCTCTATAAGTTTCAGTCATTTTCTGTATGAGTCTCTTAATGTTCTTATTAGTAGCCTCTACCGCTCTATTCATTTTGGGGCGATAAGTGGTGGAATTATGATGTTTTATCTGGAGTTGTTTACATACTGACCCCATCATCTTGTTGTTTAAATTCAAGGTGTTGTCAGTAATAATCCTTTCTGGCAACCCATATCGATAGATAATTTCTCTTTTCAAGAATTTGCAAACTGTTAACTGAGTAACATTTGCATAAGAAGCAGCTTCTACCCACTTAGTGAAGTAGTATATTGCCACCAATATGAAGCGATGTCCATTAGAAGCTTTGGGTGTAATTTGCCCAATAACATCCATGCCCCACATAGAGAATGGCCATGGAAAAATCATCACGTGTAATGGGTGTGGAGGAGTGTGGAGCTTATCCCTATAAATCTAGCATTTACAACATTTTCTGGCATAATTAATACAATCGGTTTCAAGGGCCAACCAATAATACCCAAATCTCATTATTTGTTTAGTCATTATATGTCCATTAGCATGGGTACCACATATTCCCTCATGCACTTCTTTAATAATCATTCTAACTTCTTTGGTATCTACACATCGTAACAAGACCTGATCATGACTTTTCTTGTACAAGATCTCGCCATCAAGCACATATCTTGCAGCCAACCTCCGAATAGTTCTTCTCTCATTCTCAGTTGCCTGCTCGGGGTAACTTTGATATTTAATGTATTTAAGGATGTCTCGATACCATGGATTCTCATCCTCTTCATTTTCTATACTATAACAATGGGGTGGATATTCATAGGTTTGCATTGTAATAGACACCATGCTCGAATACTCATTGACTTTGTAAGCTGATGCTAAAGTGGCCAGAGCATCCGCCATCTGATTTTCCTCTCTGGGAAGATAATGGAATGTCACTTCTTCAAATTCTGGGATAATCTCTAAGATCAACTTACGGTATTCCACCAACTTGGTATCTTTTGTTTCCCATTCACCTCTGAGTTGATAAATTACAAGGGCTGAATCCCCATACACTTTGAGTGCTTTTACTTTATGCTCAATGGCAGCTCTAAGACCTATAATACATGATTCATACTCGGTCATATTATTCGTGCAATCAAAATTCAATATGCTAGTGAAAGGATAGTGTTCTCCACCAGGTGAGACCAGAATGGCTCCAATCCCGTGCCCCAAGGCATTCGATGCACCATCGAAAGTCATCTTCCAATACTCATCAGTAGAAGAAACTATCTCTTCAATTGTGATAGCCATCAAATTTTCATCCGGAAAATTGAAGTCTAGGGGTTCATATTCTTCAGAAGCCCTACTAGCAATGAAATCGGGTACAACACTACCTTTAACTACTTTTTGACTTACATATTGAATATCAAATTCAGATAATAAAATTTTCCAATGAGCCAATCTTACAAACAAAGCGGGTACCCCCGTTAAATATTTCAAAGGGTCAAGTCTAGATATCAACCAGGTAGTGTGATACAACATATACTGCCTGAGTCTTCGGGTAGTCCAAACTAAAACACAACATAACTTTTCTATTGGTGAGTATCTTGTCTCGAAATCAGTGAACTTTTTGCTGAGGTAGTAGATTGCTCTTTCTCTTTTCTCGGTTTGGTCATGCTGCCCTAATTCACACCCTATCGAATTCTCAAAAAATGACAAGTATAGGATTAACGGTTTGCCTGATATTGGAGGCATTAGGACTAGACCTTTTGACAAGTATCATTTTATTGCCTCGAAGGCTCCTTGACAATCATCATTCTATACCCCTGGGTTATTTTTATGGAGAAGGCGAAAAATGGAATCGCTCTTCTCAGTTAATTGTGAAATAAATCGGGCGATGTAATTTAATCTTCTCAGGAACCCCCGAATTTCTTTTTGTGTTTGCGGGGGTGGTAAATCTTGAATAGCCTTGAATTTGTCTGGATCTACCTCGATAGCTTTGTTGCTCACTACAAACATAAGAGTTTCCCAAACATTACCCCGAAGGTACACTTGCTTGGATTGAGTTTTAACTGGGATTTCCTTAATCTTTGGAAGAGTTTCCTCAGATTCTCAATGTGTTCTTCCTCCGTTTTATCCTTGATAATCATATCATCGACGTAGACCTCTATTTCCTTATATATCATATCGTGGAACAATGTTACCATGTCTCTTTGGTAAGTTACCCCTGCATTCTTTAGCCCAAATGGCATCACCTTGTAACAAAATGTGCCCCCACATGGTGACAAACGTAGTTTTTTCCATAACATCTGGATGCATTTTTATTTGATCGTAGCCCAAAAACCCATCCATGAATGAAAATAGGGAATGTCCAGCAGTATTTTCTACCAGGGTGTCTATGTGTGGTAGGGGAAATTATCTTTCGGACTGGCTCGGTTAAGGTCTCTATAGTCGACACACATACAAACTTTCCCGTCTTTCTTGGGTACTGGAACAATATTTGCTACCCATTCTGGTTGCTTGGCTACTTTCAAGAACACATCATTAAATTGCTTTTTTACTTCTTCCTTGATTTTTAACAGCATTTCAGGACGCATCCTTCTGAGCTTTTGTTGTACTGGTTTAAATTCTGACTTTATTGGCAATTTATGTACTACTAACTTAGTTTCTAAACATGGCATGTCCTCATATGACCAAACGAACACATCTCCGTATTCTCGAAGCAACTCAATCAACTTTTTTCGTCATTCAGTAGATATGATGGTGCCAATTTTTATCTCTTTTTTATCCTCTTTTGATCCCAAATTCAAGATTTTAACGGGCTCTTTATGGGGAAAATCTGTTTATCTTATCTCTCTACCATTTTCAGTAATTCAGAAGGTAAGTCACTTCCCTCGTCATTATCATCAATCTCAACTTCCCCCTGACAGATAGGCAGCTCAAAATCCATCTCCGGGTCAGAGTCATCAGCATTCATATTATTGATACCAGAAGTCCTGAGAGGAAAACAATTGAAAGGATATATACATATAACCATACAGGAGAACACTTATCCCATATCAAAATAGAATGAAATAATAATAAATAACAAATGAATACAAAATATGCATGAGAGAATGTTTGCCATTTTGTAAATTGTCTGAAATGCATATTTTATTAAACATCAAAAAACATATAGATTAACCCTTTACACGAGATCACATATTGCCTCAGGGTTTAGACAATATGGAAAGTTCTTTTGTGCATTACTCTGAAACATTTTTGTAAACTACAGGTAATTCTTCTGCAGTCCAATTGTTTAGCACAAAGCCTGGTGGTGTAGGATAGATCCCCATGCCTCTTCCTTCCTCAGTCTCTTCTATCGATATCATATATATGTCCAAATTCTTCAAGGTGTTTTCAATAATTGGCTCTTTAGATAATTGGGTTCCTTGAAACATATGGCCTCCAGATATGAAAATGTCCCGTAACAATGGGAAAATCATGGGTTCCCACTTAACATCTTCTCCAGTTAGCATGACTTTCCTTTTCTCCTGACTTTTCTGAACATTTTTTAACTTTTCTTTTGAGGTTGGAAGATATCCTAAACCAAAATGATCTTTCTTGATGCCGAAAAAAACCAGATTAACATTTCCCTGTAAGTGGCTCCCCAGTCCTCTTCCGACTTTGGCTCCTCTACCCATAGTTATTTTTAATTCCATTTTGGCACAATTGAATAAGCCTAGGCTTTGGAATTTTCTTCATCTTAGCAACAAAAGTGGCGTTAACGAATTCCAAAAACCTAAAAGAGCACTCAACTGCTTTTTCATCCACCTCAATGTATGGAGCAATAGTAGATACGAAAGTAATGATGTCTTCTTCAGCATTAATGCATACTAGTCTTCACTCCATTACAAATTTGAGTTTTTGATGTAGAGTGGAGGGTACGGCTCCCGCCTGGTGGATCTAAGGCCTTCCTAACAAGCAATTGTAAGTCAACATTATATCCATGACGAGGAATTCAACCTCGTAAATTAACGGGCCTATGGTCAAAGGGATATCAATTTTTCCCAGTACTTTCCTCTTCGTCCCGTCGAAAGCTCGCACAATGTTTTGGCAATTCTTCATATGCGTACTGTCAGTTGGTAGCTTTTTTAGAGTCACTAGTGGCATAACATTCAAGGTTGAGCCATTACCAATTAATACCCGTGATAACACATGACCTTTGCATCAAACGGTGATGTGTAGAGCTTTGGGGTTACCCATCATCCCAGACGAGATCTCATCATCAGAGAAAGAAAGAAAATTATCTGCCTGAATATTCATAACCAGTCGATCTATCTTTTCTACTGGCATATTTTTTGGTACAAAAGTCTGATTCAAGACTTTCAACAGGGCACTTCGATGTGCTTCAGAGCTTAATAATAAAGCCAAGATTGAGATACTAGCTGGCAATTTATGTAATTGCTCGACTGTTGTATTCGCTATGTTTTAAGAATTTTAAAAACTCTATAGCCTCATTCTCGGTTACAGGTTCATTAATTGTCAGCTCATCATCTTTCAGTAATATCTTAACCCTTTTTTCCTTTATCAGCAGCCGTTCTTTTCTCAGGTTCAATGGTCTGGTTGGGAGAATAACATCTCCCACTTCTGGTGAAATAACCTACCTCATCCACCTCTTCCTTAGCAGCCTCTGAACTCTCAACATTATTTAGTTGGCATCCATACCTCCAAGGGACCTGCTTATTGTCCTTATAAGAAAAGGACGATGGAGGTGTGATCATCGATTTAGGGATTACCTTTTCCATAATTCTAGCTTTCAGTGTAATGACCAAAGGGTAGTTAGTATTGTAAACTCCCTTGGATGTACCTTCGGAAGCGTAAATCTATATTTCTTTCTCTTTTGTATCTTATTGGTAAAATTCCATGTCTTTTCTATCTATCATCCCTTGAACCAAGGCATTGAACTCGTCACAGTCTTGAATGATATGATCCTCGCAACAGTGATAGGGGCAAGCGTGCTCATTCTCGTTAGCATTATAGATCAACCAACCTACTTGGACCATTTGTCCCCATATCCAATGCATGGGCGACTTAATTTCACTGACTTTGGTTATGACTCCATTCCCTCTTTCCTTAATAATAGCATTAACCCATGTCATTGCATGGTTTGGAAGTGGGTTCTGGGCCATATTGGGCTGCTCACTGTCACTGAAGTTGATGATATTTCTTTGTTTTAATCTTTGCACCAACTTCTTAAAGGCCAGGCAATTTTCAATTGAATGCCTCGATGCCCCACATGATACTCGCATTGAGCGTTGACATCATACCATTTTGGGTAAGGAGACTGAATTGGAGAAGTGTGGTATGGGAACACCACATGTTTTTCATACAGGATCTGGAAAAGCTCTTTATAAGTCATAGGGATGGGGTCAAATTGAACCCTTTCCCTTTTCTGTCTTGGCTCATTCGCCCCTTGTTTAATAGGATTTTGTGCAGACGATATGGTGGTCTGAGGTCGAGATACTGTAATGTTATTAGAATCATATTTCTTTACATTACTGACCTCACTATCTTTTCTTCTCGTTGGAGGCTTTCGGCTAGATTCTCCCCCATCCAGTTTCTCACTTCTAATTGACATTTCTATCATTTCTCCTGCTATAACAATATCAGCAAAATTCTTGGATGAATTCCCAATAATATGTCCAAAGAACGGAGCCCTCAGAGTATTTACAAAAAGCATATTTGTTTCTTTCTCCTCTAACGGTGAATGAACTTGTACAGCTACATCTCTCCACCTTTGGGCATACTATCTGAATGTCTCGTTGGATCTTTTTTCCATATTCTGCAACATGATTCGATTTGGCCTTACTTCTTTTACATGTTTATATTTCTCTAGAAAAGACTTATCCAAATCCTTCCAAGATTTAATCTGAGCTCGACTTAGCTGATTGTACCAACGGACTGCTGAGCCTGTCAGGCTCTCTTGAAAACAATGAATTAATAGCTGATCATCCCTTACATAGCCTATCATTTTTCTGCAAAACATGGTAATGTGTACAGAAGGACAATTGCTGCCATCAAAATTTTCAAAATTTGAAACTTTAAACTTCGGTGGCAGTACTAAATCGGGAACCAAACTTAGCTATTTGGCATCAATTCCTTATAGGCTAGCGTCTTCTTTCGTAGCTCGGAATTCATGCTTCATTTGTTCCCATTCTTTCTTAAGCTCCTTGTTATGTTCTTTTGTGTCCTCTTCATCGAGATCAGGAATGTCTTCAACTGTTTGCGGGTTTACAGAAGACCCTAGTAGGTTCACTTGTATCTTTTCT